GATTCTAGGATTCAGAAAGTTTTTCGTAATGTTTTCGTAGAATTTCCTTTCCTGTAATTTGAACCCATGGCTCCATTGAGTCCCAGTTTCCAGGGTAGCAGGAAACAAGTCCCCTCCTTATGGCATCCTTTCACTAGGCCTGGCCAAGCCATGGTTCTAAAGTCCTTACAAAACTCAAGTTCTGGTGGTGAAAATTTCAGAACTCTTAACAAAACTTTCAAAATTTAATTATTATTTCATTATTGGTGATTTTTTTAATGACAGAACCAATTAGGAACTGCCATATATAATGAAATTTTGAGAGTTTTGTTAAGAGTTCTGAAATTTTCACCACCAGAACTTTAGTTTTGCAAGAACTTTAGAACCATTTAGAACCATGGATTGCCCAGGCCTACCTTCCACATATTTATCCAGGGCTCCTCCCATGTCTCCTCTCAACCTTCTCACAGGATCCTAGAGTCGGGAGAGACCTGGTGGGCCACCCCTCCCAACCCCATTCTGCCAAGAAGCAGGAAAATGGCATTCAAGGCATCCTGAGGGCTAAACAGACCCGGTTCCTTCAGATGCTCCTCAGAGGGATTCTTCATGTTCTCCAGACCTTTGGTCCTTTGAGCCTCCCTCTCCCTCTGGACCCCTTCCCGCTTAGGGTCAGTCTCTCTTGCTCTGCCCAGAATGGGGCAGAGTGTGACTCCAGGTAAGGAAGGCCTGGCCAAAGCAGAAGAGAGGGGCACCTGGACTTCTTCCCTTCATCTGGACACTCGGCTCCTTCTGATGCAGCCCAGAATCCCATTGGCTTTTTCAGCTGCTGCCTCACACTCTTGGCTCATGGTCAGCTTGTTCCCCACAAAGACTCCAAGACCCTCAGAACGCTGCTTTCGTGAAGCCTCCTTCGTGGAGCCTCTCCCTTGCTAGAGTATTAAAGCTTTGCCAGTGGAAGGATTGCAAGATCAGCAGACACTGTGTTCAAAAAGGACTCTGTAAGGTTTCAGTTACAACAGAAAACTAAGTTTACTAAGTACATCTATACACGTCTATTCACAGGAAGTACTAGGCACAAACAACAGTCTCTGAACATCTGCTTATCTGACTTCTGTCTGAGACCAGATCCTCCCTCTTCTTCCCAGCCAGAGAACACGTTATCTCATTTCTGTCAAGGTGACATTTTCTCTGCCTCAGCACAGTGTTTTCTTATACACAATAGAGCAGAACAGAATCCATCTTGAAATACATCTTAATCCATCTTGAATTACATAGAAACACATTGAAAAACACACATGCAAAACCAAATAATCCTGACATCCCTCACCTTCCTCGGACAGGGCTGCCTTGTCTCTTCGTGAACCGTCCCTTCTCATGATGTGTCCCCAGTACAACAGCCTCTCACTTATCACACTGGCTCCCAGGGGTAGAGAGATAGAAGAGGGGCCTCCCTCTCAGGTCCATTCCCTTTACGCCAGCCCAGAGCGTAACAGTAAAAGGACCAAGGCAGTGACATCTCCAGCTCATCCCCTGTTTGGGTATCAGCCAGCACACCAACGACTTAAACCTAGAAATAGTTTTCTAAGAACCACAGAGACACTCACTGGAACACCTCAGCAAGCGAGAGTCCAAAAGTGGCAGGCTCAAACCCAGAACCTCAACCAATGGCTGATACCCAATGAGGAACTCCCCCTTGGGCACACAGAAGACTGGGCGACTTGGAAGGCGCTGAACACACTACGCTCTGGCACCACGAGATGCGGAGCCAACCTTCAGAAATGGGGCAACCAAGTGGAGACCACGACATGCGAGTGCGGAGAAGAGCCAACCACTGACCACCTGCTGCGATGCACCCTGAGCCCTGCCACATGCATGATGGAGGACCTCCTTGCGGCAACACCAGAGCCACTCCAAGGGGCCAGAGACTGGTCAAAGGACATTTAATAGAATACCGTGAAAATTTTGTGTTTTGTTTGTTTGTTTGTTAAAAATGCAATACAACAGTTTGGTTCGCTCCTGACACGATAAATAAATAAGCTCAGAGCATCCTCTGCCTTTCTCCTGGAGGACATGGACACCCCCCCCCCCCAAACCTCATTTCCACAGGGAAGGAAGGAAGGTAGTGGCACCCCCATGGCATCGCTTTGGGATCCCTCCCTCTGTCCTTTTCTATCAAGCAGAGCGCTGGGGAGGTCAGAGCAAAGCTGCTTCCAAGCAGAGGAAAACCCACTCCCRWTTGCCTTCCTGACCCCCTACYCCTTTCCCCCCATCGCAGCCTKCCTTTAATTTCAAAGCAATACGTATAAGCATCACACAAATGCGCCACAAGAAACTTACGTAAGTCGGTGTCTCCGAAGAGTCTGCGTTCACAAGGAGCGGAGGGGGGTTGGCCTTGAAATGGAAAACACAAAGGTCCACGTTAGAGGAAACTGACCAGCGCTGGACGCTGAACAACACAGAGGCAAAACAAATGGTCAAACGTGTGGACGCCAAGCGGCTTTGGGATCTCGGTCAGTTTGACTTTGCGGGAGCTGAGGATGCGACCACCAGACTTCCATACCTGGAAGGACCACACGCTGAGGAGCGGGGAATGCGGATGGGTTACTGCTCTAAAGACGAGGACACCCAAGGCAACTCAGAGCACTGAACTGAAAAGCAAGGGAGGCCGACCCCCAGGTGAAAGTGGGGGCTCCTGTGTGCCTTCAAACTGGGTTCCTGTGTGCCTCCTGGGCTGCCTGGCCATGTTCCAGAAGCATTCTCTCCTGACATTTTGCCTGCATCTATGGCAGGCATCCTCAGAGGTTGTGAGACCTCCTAACCCAGCGTTTCTCAATTTGGGGGTCGGGACCCCTGGAGGGGTCACCAGGGGGTGTCAGAGGGGTCACCACAGACCATCAGAATACACAGTATTTTCTATTGGTCATGAGGGTTCTGTGTGGGAAGTTTGGCCCAATTCTATCTTTGGTGGGGTTCAGAATGCTCTTTGATTGGAAGTGAACTATAATTCCCAGCAACTGCAACTCCCAAATGACAAGGTCTATTTCCCCCAAACTCCACCAGTGCTCACATTTGGGCATATTGAGTATCTGTGCCAAGTTTGGTCCAGATCCATCATTGTTTGTGTCCACAGTGCTCTCTAGATGTAGGTGAACTACAACTCCAAAACTCAAGGTCAGTGCCCACCAAACCCTTCCAGTATTTTCTGTTGGTCAGGGGAGTTCTGTGTCAAGTTTGGTCCAATTCCATCATTGGTGGAGTTCAGAATGTTCTTTGATTGTAGGTGAACTATAAATCCCAGCAACTACAACTCCCACAGGACAAAATCAATCCCCCCAACCACACCAGTATTCAGATTTGGGTGTATTGGGTATTTGTGCCAAATTTGGTCCAGTGAATGAAAAATACATCCTGCCTATCAGATGTTTACATGACGATTCATAACAGGAGCAAAATTACAATTATGAAGTAGCAACAAAAATAATGTTATGGTTGGGGGTCACCGCAACAGGAGGAACTATATTATGGGGTCACGGCACTAGGAAGGTTGAGAAACACTGTCCTAACCTCTGAGGATGCCTCCTGCTATAGATGCAGGTGAACCGTCAGGAGAGAATGCTTCTGGAACATGGCCAGGAAGACCAAAAAACTTCCAGCAGCCCAATGATTCTGGCCATGAAAGCCTTTGATTACACATTGCCTTCAAGTTACCGCAACCCCAAAATGGACCTTGGCAAGGTTTGTCCCCACTGCCTTCCTCTGAGGCTGAGAGAGTGTGGCTTGCTCCAGGTCGGCCAATGGGACTCCTGGCCACACAGAGGCTGATGAACCATGCATGCAGAACCACGCATGTGTGAATTGATTTTGTCACCTGGGAGTTGTAGTTGTTGGGATTTATAGTTAACCTACAATATAAGAGCATTCTGAACTCCACCAATGATGGAATTGAACCAAACTTGGAACACAGAACTCCCCTGACCAAGAGAAAATACTGGAAGGGTTTGGTGGGCATTGACCTTGAGTTTGGAAGTTGTAGCTCACTTACATCCAGAGAGCACTGTGGACTCAAACAATGATGGATCTCGACCTAATTTGGCACAGATACTCAATATGCCCAATGTGAACACTGGTGGAGTTTGGGGAAAACAGACCTTGTCATTGTTGCTGGGATTTATAGTTCACTTCCAATCAAAGAGCATTCTGAACCCCACCAATGATAGAATTGGACCAAACTTCCCACACAGAACGCCCATGAACAACAGCAAATACTGTGTTTTCTGATGGTCTGTGGTGACCCCTCTGAAACCCCCTGGTGACCTCTCCAGGGATCTCGACCCCCAAGTTGAGAAACGCTGACCTGAGGCAAAACAGGGCCCCCCAAAACAAGGCAGCACCACTTGCTAACATTCACCAGCGAGAGCAATGTTTTGGGGCCTGGTGAGTGCCACTGCTACAGCCTGAAAGGTGTTTCCAAAAGCCAGAGAGACCCCTCCCTCGTGCCTCTGCCCAGGAGGCCTCTTGCAGCGCACTGGAAATCCCATGCAGTAGAACTGGGGCCGGGCTGGAGGGACTTGGTCCGGGACCAAAGGGCACAGCCACATGCTGAGAGGCACCAGACCCACCAGTCAAGGGGATGAAGGCCTTCTGCACAGACGGCGGTCTTGCTAAGCAGGCACGCACACACGCACGGCTCTCTTCCGGTGGGGGGCCAGAGCCCTGAGAGAGCCGTCCCTGCGAGCCGCGCCCGCATCCCTGCCTCTTACACAAGGCCCTCGTTGGCTTGCTTTCTAAAATTAGAGCCAGCCGCGCGAGCGCCCAAAACGCCTCTCCCGTTTCCACAGGGACAGCGCCAAGCCCGGCGCTCAGGCAACAGCCGCCGGATTACTCCTTCTGCAAACTTCCAACACACAGAAGGCGGTTTGCAGAATATACAGGAAGGCCACCACCACGCCCCAAATACACCCCTAAAATCCCACTCTCGTTCCAAATAGGATTCCGGGCACTCCTCTGTGTGGCCGGGACAGCAGCACCAGCAGGCCTCCCACAGCCTGGGTCAGCCAAAGCCCGGCCGAGGCCAGCCTTGCCTCTCGTGCCAAGGTCAGTCTCTCGGATGGACAGGCGGAAGGACGGACTCTGGGCACCACAATTCAAGAGAGAGATTGACAAGCTGGAATGTGTCCAGAGGAGGGCGACTAAAATGATCAAGGGTCTGGAGAACAAGCCCTATGAGGAGCGGCTTAAGGAGCTGGGCATGTTTAGCCTGAAGAAGAGAAGGCTGAGAGGAGATATGATAGCCATGTATAAATATGTGAGATGAAGCCACAGGGAGGAGGAGGGAGCAAGCTTGTTTTCTGCTTCCTTGGAGACTAGGACGCAAGGGAACAATGGCTTCAAACTACAAGAGAGGAGATTCCATCTGAACATGAGGAAGAACTTCCTGACTGTGAGAGCCGTTCAGCAGTGGAACTCTCTGCCCCGGAGTGTGGTGGAGGCTCCTTCTTTGGAAGCTTTTAAGCAGAGGCTGGATTGCCATCTGTCAGGGGTGCTTGGAATGCAATATCCCTGCTTCTTGGCAGAATGGGGTTGGACTGGATGATGGCCCAGGAGGTCTCTTCCAACTCTGTGATTCTATGATTCTATGACTCTGTAGGTGACCTCCCTCCGCCAAGTAGAGAGGGGCTACCCCTCCCTCCTTTTGGCCCTCCATGCCACCCAACATCGGCCTCTGAATTTGCACGAGCCTATCGAGGCCAAACGTCAGCTCCTTCTTCGGAGGCTTGCAAACCGAGGCTGGGTGGGCATCTGTTGGAGGTGCTTTGGTTGTGGAAGGGGGGGGGGGCTGGATGGCCTCTGGAGGTCCGGTCCAACTTGGTGCCCATCCTTCAGCCTGGCAAGCTCAAGACACCCATGCTCTGTTTGCAGCCCACACTAGAAATGGAGAGGGGTGGCAATGCCCGGCCACGGGCCACTGAGCGGCCAAATACTTTCCCCACCAGCTCCACAGAAGCCACGGCTCCCCGTGGCACAACCACCCTGCCACTACAGCTGCAACGAGAACAACGGGCACGCTCCCGCTAGCCCTGGACAACAGCAACCGATCTCCCCCAATGCTTCCATCATCCCCGCCCCACAAAGAAAGGCCTGAGGGCAGAGAGGCCCCCCCCCCCCCCCCCCGTGTGGCCGGCTGGCCAAGGACGGCATGCGACCCACTTTCCAAGCAGGGGACGAAGGCAGTCAATACAGAGAGGTGCCTCCATCTGCGCCCCCCACGCAGCGCAGCGCTGAGCTCAGCCGCCAAGCACCCCTCCCACGCAGACCCCCCCCAACCGCCACCATCTGCTCAGCCAAATGCCTCAGGTATTTAAAGCTCCCACGGGCAGCAGCAGCAGCCCCCTCCCCTCCCCCTCCCAGGCACAATGGCCCTGCAGGAAGGAGGGGAGGGCCCCCCACTCTGAGCCCCTTCCTCGTACATGGGGGGGGTCACCCATGGCCACTGGCAGGGGGCAGTGACCAGCCCCCCGGCCCCCTTCCTTGTACATGGGGGGTCACCCATGGCCACTGGCAGGAGGCAGTGACCAGCCCCCCGGCCCCTCCCCGGCTCACCTGGGCCCCCCTCCCTGCGGCCTGGGCCTTGGCCGTGCTCTTGGTGGGGCTCTTCTTGACGCTGTCGCGCAGGTTGGGGAAGCGGCCCCGAGGGTGCTTCAAGGCTAAGGGCAGCGGGGCGGGGGAGGGGGCAGAGAGGGCGGGGGGGCGGGGTGTGGGAGGGGGCCGAGGGCAGAGGGGTCCCCCCTCCCCCCACGGGCCCCCGCCCTCGCAGCCGTGCACCTCCGGAGCCCCACAGAAGCAGCCATGCGGGCGGAAGGCGGCGGCAGCGGTGGTGGCACTCATGGGGGGCCAGGGCAGGGGGCCCTCCGAGAGGGAGGGAGGGAGGGAGAGTTGGACGAAGGGCCAGAGAAGAAGGAAGGAGGGCTCTGTGGGGCAGGAAAGAGGAGAGCGATGCCCCGGCCCTCACGCACGCAGCCGGCCTTGACCAAAGCAAGGGTGCCCATTGGGCCAGGCAGCAGGATCCATCGATCTTTCCAGGGAGGAGGGAGCGAGGGAGGGAGCGGACCGTCAAGGTCACCGGCTGCATTTCCACCACCCACAAAGGGGGTGGGGTTCAGGCCACTCCCAGACTAGTTGGGGGGCAGGGAGGAGCCCAGGGGGCACGCACAGGAGGAGTCCCCAAGGCGGCCCTTTTGGACCCCTCAAAGACTTCCCTGGGTCAGCTCAGCCCTCAGTGGGAAGCCCCCCCCCTGCACTCCCCAGACTCCAAACCCAAAAGAGCCCCCCTCCTTGCATTGGTTGGGGGCACAAAAGAAGAAGAAGGGGTGCAGCCACCTCCCACCCCCACC